CCTTCGTGGGTCAGCGTGCCCCTCTACCCCTACACGACCTTCGTGGGTCAGCGTGCCCCTCTACCCCTACACGACCTTCGTGGGTCAGCGTGCCCCTCTACCCCTACACGACCTTCGTGGGTCAGCGTGCCCCTCTACCCCTACACGACCTTCGTGGGTCAGCGTGACCCCTGTGTGACCTCACCTGCCGGAGCTGCTAGTGCCGCCACGCAGGTGGATGCGGAAGAGTCCGCTTTGCAGCGCGTGCACGAAGATGAGGAATGTGTCCTTGTCGCATGGACGCGCCGCCTCCGGGCTGCTAAGCTCAGCCATCAGTTCACCTGAAGCACACACACAGCAGGATACGAAATTAACGGGGGTGTCCGGAGTCAAATACTCCCTGATTTACTGTCGGACTCCCTGATTTGACATGTGCAGGAGTCCGTGTGGCACCGTGAAAATTCTGCTATACTAACTAGTTCGTTCCAGAGCATGACCTCGCGGCATGTTTCAGTAAATGCCCAATTTTTGTTAATATATTTAACAGACTGCAGACTCCCTCATTTTGCTGCGGACTCCCTCTTTCATAGGGTAGGGAGTCAACGGACTCCCTTGTTCAAAAGTTAATTTCTACCCCTGCACACAGAGAGAGAACCTGAGCACAAGTGCGGGTATGAGAAGTGCTGGCTGGTCTGTGTCGCGAAGTCATTACCCTCGATGGGGACGCGTGTGGTATGCACATTAATTTCGGTTGGTGGGAACGTGATAGCATATAATACCATGTGCTTACCTGCGCATAATGATGATGATATTATACTGATATTTTAAACGTTTAACAATAATCATCTTAAATCTTGACCATGCTCTCCCTCTAACTAACGCAGTTCAACACTTCATCTGTGAATATCGAACAGACAACCATTCAAATTTTTGGTATAAAGATTCATTCATCAAAAATTCGCCTTTTACTGTTACTACGTGAACTAAGAGTACTCCCATGGGAGGCAACGGATGCCTCGATCGTAGACAGCCACGTACTTGCAGGGAAGCTCTCGTTGTCCTCGAAGCTTTCCAGCCACACGAGCATCACCTTCATCTCGTGACCGACGACACTCAGCTGCCGGCTCCAGTGCTTCTTCTTCCGCATCGAGTTGGAGGCGTTGAGATCGGGCGAGGCAGTCGGGCTGTCGCTCATCCTCTCTACCTGCTCACAGATGGGAAAACGTATCACTGCCCGATATACATTGTGCCAGGAGTAGCAGTAGCAGTAGCAGCAGCAGCAGCAGCAGCAGCAGTAGCAGTAGCAGTAGCAGTAGCAGTAGCAGTAGCAGTAGCAGTAGCAGTAGCAGCAGTAGCAGTAGCAGTAGCAGTAGCAGTAGCAGTAGCAGTAGCAGTAGCAGTAGCAGTAGCAGTAGCAGTAGCAGTAGCAGCAGTAGCAGTTGCAGTAGTAGCAGTAGCAGCAGCAGCAGCAGCAGCAGTAGCAGTAGCAGTAGCAGTAGCAGCAGTAGCAGTTGCAGTAGCAGTAGTAGCAGCAGCAGCAGCAGCAGCAGCAACAGTAGCAGCAGCAGCAGTAGCAGCAGCAGCAGTCGCAGTCACAGTAGCAGTAGCAGCAGCAGCAGCAGCAGTAGCAGCAGCAGCAGCAGCAGCAGCAGCAGCAGCAGCAGCAGTAGCAGTCGCAGTAGCAATAGCAGTAGCAGCAGCAGCAGCAGTAGCAGTAGCAGTAGCAGTAGCAGTAGCAGTAGCAGTAGCAGTAGCAGCAGCAGCTCTTTTGTATCAGAAGTGCCATAATATAGACACACTATAGCATCTATATTATGAGACTCCTGATTGTCTACCATTGTATGTTTTGTATACCATCTCGCGATACGTGTTGTGTAGTATTATCATGGGTCAGGTCGTATATAAGTCAAAGAATATTACGCTTCGTACACCACGGTCACCACCGCGTGACCACAAAACACAATGCATGATAACACGTTTAATTTCATACCAGGGCATGAAATGTGTCACATACCATCACATCAGAAGGGAAAAAAAAAAATATTTGTGTCCCTTTCAGGCACATCTAGCTTCTTACATCTCTAACGTTAACAGCATTCATTTGACTACACAATGCACAGCTCCACGCCCTCGCGGCCATTTTGTATGTACGAACAATATCAATAGGAGACGAATAAAGAAAAGCAGGAGAATAATACAAATTAAACAGAGCAAGCATCCGTCATACCCTGTCTTTATCAGTCTTTTGCTTCTCCAGGTCCAGCTCCAGGCGTAGCGCAGACCTGGCAGAGACGGCAGTGCCATCTGCTGGCGTCCTGGTCGAGTTGGACAAGGGAACGTATGGGAACTCTGCAACATGGCGGGAAGAGACGTGTTAGTAGAGAGCCAGCGAGGGACGCATGCGGTGTTCTAACACCCATGCGTGTGTCAACGCTGATTCGCCGTCGGCGAGAAATGCACACTACACGCGAAGCGAACGACAACACAAAACAGCGGGGCCATAATAAAAATATTGTTTGTTTGCCCTCACTCGACCGACCCGCCAAAAAGAGGCCGACTCAAAATTTTTTATTGATCTTTCCCATTCTTTTTTTTTTACAAATTGTATCACTGTACATTATATAAATCTGTAGGCAATACATTATATGTACCAAGCCAAACAAACATTCAATATAAAAGGTATCTCCACACAAGCGCACCGGAGCATACATGTAGACACCATGCTGAATTTGTAAAAAGACCCCCCCTAAAAAGAAGCCTACCTACCTACCCAAACTTTTCAGCCTGGGTCGGGTGAGGGCAAACAAAGTTTTTTTTAATTGTGGCCCGGGCGCGCAAATCTAGCGTGCAGTCCTAATACGCTGCCAAACTAACGTTGAGTAAACGATCGAATTTTTAAAATTCAAGCGAATCAAGCAATCAAGCGAAGCACGAGCAATCGAGTGCGTTTTTCAAATACATACTCGCTGCAAAAAAGCATCAACTCTATCATCACAATCACAATGCTAGGAGACATTAACCAGGCACGTGTATATAGTGCTACAACTAGCGGTCAGCACGAGCAATGACATGCAAGCGGGCACACATGCATAAAGTGATGACAGGATCAACTTTCCTTCGCATCGTGTTCTCCGGATGAGCATGATACAACGATGACACAATGTAACGCGATCAAATTCACACATCATGTTCTCTGGAGGACATTGTATGATGATACCAGCTGACGCGATCGAATTCATGACAATTTCTCTGGGTGGCACATTAATTACCATGACATCATGTACCGCGACAAAATTTGTGCGTCTCCCTCCGGGTGACACGATAAAATGACGTCACGTAACGAGATCAACTCTGCAAATTACGTTCTAAGACGACACGATACAGTGAGTGACGTCATGTAACGCGGTCAACTTTGCATATCATGTTCTCCGGATGGCATGATACGATGACGTCATCTACATTTCCCATCCACGCAGCAGTGCAGATGTATTCCTTGTCACGTACAAGGATAGCGAACAACACAGCAGAGGAGTTGTGTCAGGTGTGCACTGTGTGGTGCGGTGAGGTGAGTGCCTGTCATGTTGCATCACTCACAATCTTATATACTATGTCACCTAACGCGTCATCGCCTAGTGTATCGCCTATTTATTACTTCGCACCTCCCCTTCAATGTCAATGGATATTTTATTTATATATATATATATGAATATATTATTCTGAATATTTTACATGTACCCACTATCCACCACTGTGTGTGTCACCACCCATGCTGCCACATGTTTTTACTAATTCACCTCCTGTGTCATCACCTGCTACTAAGTGCCCAATGCTAGGTTTCATCATGTCATATTAGCTACAATGTACACTTTACTTACGCTGAGAGGGTCTATGTCCCCCAGGGTACTATCGGAGGGTACCCTGGGTACGGTTCGATATATTGGAAC